GTCAGCCCGGCACTGAGCTGTCAGTGTGGGAGGCAGCGTGGCCAGCTGTAGCTAGCAACCATGAAGCACTCTCACAGAATGGACTTCAAGATGATCAGTGAGTAGTGGAAATGTGAGTTGCAGTGCAGAGCAGTGTCTTCACACAGTTGAGAAATGAAATTGTGGCTTTCTGCTGGTTTCAGTGACTCAGCGGAGCACAGTGAAAATGCAGTTTTGCATGTGCTTTGTGTCTGATTCAGATCCTCCGTCTTCATTCAGTTGTTGACAGAGAGAACGTGGTGATTTACCGCTGACTTTTCATGCTTCACTGTATTATATCGTGGCCGTTGGTGACATATGTTGTCAGCAACGGACGTGTTTCTTTATTACGTTACTTAGTTATTTAAGTTTCATTATTAGTCATTTTAAAACCTGGAGAGTCTCATGGACTCTGTGGCTGCTATTACTACTTCTGTTCTTGCTGTCTAATTGGTGCAGAATGCAGGCATACACTTTCAGCAATGCAACTGTCTTGTGGTTTTATTGTGTGAGGTTCAAAGCTGTTCAAAGAGATGTCTTCATTTATATATGCAATTTTAAGTTGTTTACTGATAAAGTGAATGCGTATGTCACTAAACACAAATCTTGTATAAGAAGACTTAAGACTTAAGTTTAAAGTGGGATGATGATCAACTGTTGTTGCTTGTTGTCACAAAATTGAGGCAGGGGGCAGTAGAAAACGCTAATTTCAATTTTTGAAAAAGTCATTTTGTTCTTTAAACATTTGACGAATGACGCAAACTTTTTGAAGACTGTCATTGAGAAAGTATTTTGCATTTTGACGTATGAGAAGCTGCAGAAATCTGGGTGACTTCACATTGAATTGATCCTTAAAGTAAACACTTCTTATATCTTTATAACTTAGTCAGAGGTTTGCTTTTCTCAGTTGTGATGCTTCTCAGTGTTTAAAAAAATGGACCTCATTCACATGACAATGTAACTCAATTACCTCCTATATGAATGACAGTTTTAATAAGCAACAACAGTTAAGACCGTGTAACTTTATGGAACTGTTTGCTTGATTAGCTTGAACTTTACCTTTGTTTTTGTTTTTTTCCTAGTCCTCACTGAATGTTACACTTACATCTGCAGCTCGTTCTTTGTGTGTAAGCGAGTTAATATCTGAACCCAGTGGTATACTCCCTGATAAGCCAGCAGTCAGACAGATCAGTGTTCGCTGCTGCTGCTGCTGCTGCTGCGTGTCTGTGAATTTTACTGCAGTTGTGAATTCCAAGTACTTGCACTGTTTATTCTTGAGTGTTTATGTTTGCTGCTGTGCAAGTGTTAGTTTGTGCTCTACTGCTGTGTACTACTGCTTGTTGATTTTTCTAGTGTGAATCGGGCTCACTTCTGTGTTTTTCATGTGTATATGCAAACGCAGGGGAATATCTCGGGTCATATAATGGACTGAAGGTCTGGTAAGCCATTAATTGAGCCAAAGACCATTGAGTTTAAAATTTCTCACAGATAGAGTAGTGTGCAAAAAGTGAAAAGAGCTACTCCGCATTTCTTTATGTTTTGCCAAGAGATGGGCAATTGGAGCAACGGTTTATTTAAACTTGTGCAAACAAACATGGTAATACAGTTGTACAGTTGTAACGAGCTCGAACGTCAATATTTGGCAC